AAATTTCTCTCAAGTGGACGACCTAAAGTTTATCATTTCGTGGGAGGAGTAGGATGAAGATGGTCTCCCTCAAACAACCCTGAACCAAATAACAAAGAGTCTCTTGTGTCCCCAACACACCCAATACAATGGTAAATTGTATAAGTGCATTAGTTCGGCGAAAAGATGGTGATACAAGTGCAATATGGATGGTAGATATAGGTTTTTGTAATCAGAAAATATAAAAACAGCAAGGTAGTAAGTGGTAAAAGTGAGCAAAAACGGTATTGCAATGCTTCGAAACAAGGCCCAGTGTTCATACTTTCACTAATGCAAGTTCTCTCAATAATAATAACATAATTAGATCATATAACTATCCCTCAACATACAACAAAGAGTCACTGCAAACTCACTAATAGCGGAGAACAAATAAAGAGATTATTGTACGGTACAAAACCACCTCAAAGTTATTATTTCCAATCAATCCATTGGGCTATTCCTATAAGTGTCACAAATAGTCCTAGAGTTCGTAGTAAAATAACACCTTAAGACACAAATCAACCAAAACCCTAATGTCACCTAGATACTCCAATGTCACCACAAGTATCCGCGGGTATGATTATACGATATGCATCACACACTCTCAGATTCATCTATTCAACCAACACAAAGAACTTCAAAGAGTGCCCCAAAGTTTCTATCAGAGAGTCAAGACGAAAACGTGTGCCAACCCCTATGCATAATTTCACAAGGTCACTGAATCCGCAAGTTGATCACCAAAACATACATCAAGTGAATCAATAGAATATCCCATTATCACCATGGATATTCCACACAAGACATACATCAAGTGTTCTCAAATCCTCAAAGACTCAACTCAATAGGATAACTTCAAAGGGAAAACTCAATCCATTACAAGAGAGTAGAGGGAGAGAAACATCATAAGATCAAACTATAATAGCAAAGCTCGCGGTACATCAAGATCGTGCCAAATCAAGAACACGAGAGAGAGAGAGAGAGAGAGATCAAACACATAGCTACTGGTAAATACCCTCAACCCCGAGGGTGAACTACTCCCTCTTTGTGTTTAGAACAAGATACAGTGTAAGAAGAGCAATGGTGGAAGCACACATACAAGAAGCCGTCCAAGTCCAAATATTTACGACCAAAGTGGTTGTGCACCATGGATTGAAATCATATACTGAAGAGCAGAAGTTGGTTTTTCCATGTACTGACCAGCACATGGATTTGGTGTGTGGGTTAAAAGAAATTCAGTAAGCAACTAGGAACCAAAACCTTTGAAGAGTGGAGTCTAACTGCAATGCGCGTCTCTGCAGTGTGCCCCGAATCAAGGCTGATCCTCTGCCTCATTCAGGCACAATGCGCCTGCATCCAGTTTCAGTACAACTTCTCCTGGTAGAAAGAAAGCACCATCTAAATTCAGTAAATTTACGAAAACGATCTGGTGTGCCACTTAGATATCTCGTATCATAAAAAATTCTGGATTGCCTAATTCTTTTTTGGCAAATAGAATAAATAAATAAAGGGGACGTATTGTGTTGGCAAGGGCCTGGCCTAGTGGCAAAATCAAGGCCCCAGGAATTACACATGCTGGGCTGTGGCGCGGTGGGCACCTGGGATGATGCGAATGCACACCCTGCATTCTTCCCCCGACGCGCCAGTTCAGGAAAAAAATGTTCGCGTATTCAAAAAATATTCGTTAATTTTAAAAAATGTTCGTGAATTCAAAACATGTTCATGATTTTTTTAAATGTTTCACAAAATTCAAGAAGAAAGTTCATGAGTTTCAAAAAAATATTTGCCGGTCCAAAAAGATGTTCGTGAAGTTTTAAAAGTTGTTCACAATATTCAAAAAATGTTCGTGGATTTTGAAAAATGATCCCAGAGTACAAACAATGTTCACAAAATTCATAAAATGTTCAGACTTTGAAAAAGTATTCATCAACTCAGAAAAATGTTCCTAAATTTTAAAAAAATCCCAAAATTCAATACCAATCGGCGGTTTTAAAAACTGTCCACACGTTAAGAAAATGTACACTATTTTAAAATGTTAATGAATTTGTAAACAATGTTCATGAACTTAAAATGATTTCAAAAAAATGTTCATGTATTTGAAAAATGCTCATGATTTTAAAAACTATTCATGATTTCAAAAAAGTTCAGGTATTTGAAAAATATTCATGATTTCAAAAGTTATTCATGATTTCAGAAAATCTTTAGCTATTTGAAAAATATTCATGATTTCAAAAATTATTCATGAATTTGAAAGATATTCAAAAATTGGAAAATGAAATCAAAATAAAAAGTAAATATGAAAAATGAAAAAGAAAGAGAAAAGGGAAAATAGAAAAGACAAAAGAAAAGAGAAAAAAGAAAAGGAAATAAAAATCGAAAGGGAAAAACCGAGTTCAAGGAAGGTTCTAGAACCTTCTCAAAACTGGTGGAGATGAAATCTGGAAAATAAGCCGACCCATATGAATACCATTGCAGAGGGGGGTACGCATCAGGTCGCTGCACGGCGACCTGCGCGCCAAGTAGGAGTCTCCCCAGGGCCGGACCCATAATG